ACGCTAGGTGTAAAATAAGTTATGTGAGCTTATAGTTGATAGCAGCTCTCAAATTTTATGTCTTGAATCTGATGAATGAATTTTATCAGTGAAACAAAAACCACCCGGGTGTGCTTTTACCCTACCTCTCTGATATAACAGTTTATTTTTGTTGTATGCCTTTGAGTTGGTCCCTATTCACAGTGACCCTGCACAAGGTTTCCAACAGCAGCTGCTAGGTTTGAACTAACCTGTGGTTACGAGTCCACTCCTGATCCTATATCGACACACCATGATTCCATGTAAACACTAGTAAGTTTAAATGAAGTGTTCAGGTTACAGTGTTGGATTATCAGTAACTAGTTAACCATATATAAACTTCTGAGCTTTATTTTTAATAAAACACCTAATTAATATTGGTGAAACATTTTTGAGCTACAATTCTAATGAGAACTGCATTCTTCTGTTCTATTTTGTTGAGTGAGGGTTTATGAAAAGGAAGATAAGTAGCAACTATCACTGCATCCTTTAGGGGCAAACTGAAATGGAGATGTTTTACTTGGACCTAGGAGATAACTTTTTCTTTTAAAATAATTTGGAAGACTTTGAGGTGAAAAATTGGTAAAGCTTCTAGGCATATTGATATCAATCCCTAATGCTTTCTAATTCTCATCATCTAAAAGTAGGGAACACTTCCTGTTTGACAATTTCCTGGTTTTCCTTTATTCCTCTTCAAAAGGTCTTCCCAAAACCGTGCTCAGAATTTACTACTCAAATTTTAATTCCCTTTGAACAAATAATGCTGATTCTGAGAGTGTATTCATGTATATATCGCATCTTCTCCTTTGTTTTTCATGCTAGTCCATGTACAGGGGATCACCGGTTAGTGACAAATTTAGAATGTTTACTCCTGATTTTTATAGGTAACACAGAATATAAGTTTCATGCTATTTGGTAGCATACTTCAGAGTAAGTGCATTTGTTTAAACTATTCATCATGGCTTTTTGTTTTGAAATTATAGTCAACCTTGAATATGAAGCATAACCCTTTCTTTTTCTTTTTCTGTCTTATATTTTGTTGATAATTCCTTGCATGATGGCCTTGTTTTTCCACCTTAAAACAACATTTTATAGTTGTGTTTACTACCGTGTAACTAATGGATGCCCCTGAAATGTGCACGTAAGCCATGTGCTTGGTTTTTATGCTCACGATGCTTACTGCTGTGTGCCACTCACTGCATAGGCATGATCAGACCTTACTGATGTCGAATAGAGCCCTCACTATTGTATATGTAAATGAGTTACAACCCTTTGGCACATGACTAACCCAGTTTTTCTTTTTCAACAGATTAAATTAGTCAACATTAACTCCACTGATATTGCTGATGGACGCCCCTCGATAGTTCTTGGATTGGTGTGGACCATTATTCTGTATTTCCAGGTAGGCTTACATGGCGACACTGGGGTGTTGATTCTTTGCCATGAGGCAGGTAAGGGTAGACATTGAAAGAATGCCCTTATTTGTCATATTTTTGCCATTGAGACTGAAGTTATTAGAAATGTGACCTTTATACATATGTTGTTTGTGGAAGCAGGAGACTTTTCTCATCTTTTCATGCAAAGGAAGGTGTTATATGGTGAAGCCCCTTCACCAAAGAAATCCAGTGGAGGCACCCAAACAGAAAAATAGATCGAACACTTTGGATATGAAATAAGATTGGGGAAGAAGCTAAGAAGGAATTTCTTTTTCTCTGCAAGGGATGTGTTGTGTGCTCCAATAAAACAAGAAGGAGAGACAGTGGCTTGCCATCTCATTCAGAATATAGTCACGTGTCACATAATGTTCATTAAGGCAATATTCAACTGCATATGTTTTAGTGGTCCCCACTGAAGTTTATTCTATTAAGAAATTTGAGGTTTATGCAGTGGTTTGTAATAATAAATGGGCATTACTTCATAATGCACATTGAAACATTATTACCTTTTTTGTTGTTGTTAAGTGCTATTGAGTCAATTCCAACTCATAGCGACCCTGTATTGGGTTTCCTAGGAGCAGCTGATAGGTTTGAACTACTGACTTTTTGTTTCAAACTGACCTTGTGATCCAGTGCATTATCTTGTAGTACCACACTGATATTATTATGTAAATATGCTGAAGATGGTTAGTGTATTTAGAAGTATTTCTTTTATGTTTTTTTCAAGAACAGGAAGACATACTATGTGAGTATACTATATGTAAGACAAATATTTGACTAATTGACCATTAGATATGAACTGTACCTAATAATTCCAACTATGTACAAATTTGACTTACAGACAGATTTAGGAATGGAGCTCATTTGTAATCCGGGGAATGCCTATTTGTGATACGGTGTTCACACAATGTCCAAGTCACATAATGTCCTATTTCAGAATGTATTGTGGATGCTAAATGACACATGACTATGATTAAGTAGAGAAAGGTGAATTCCAACCATTAGGTTTTATTTTATTAATTTATTCAAGCATTTAATCAATTTTTGTCATTAAGTCAGAGATGCAGTTCTAGATGTAAGGGAACTATACGTACTCCTTTAAGAGTTTATTTTTCAGCAAGTGCTAAGATACATACCGAGATAGTACATGTCATAAGCAGACATTGAAAACCACCAATTCATTGTTGTTATGCTCTGTCAAGGAGCAGCTGGTGAGTTTGAACCATTGACCTTGTAGTTAGCAATTTGAGTGCCACACCAGAATTCTAATAGGAAGACCCAGTAAAATGAAATGGAATTTCTGGATATGTATATGGTTGTTATAAGCAGCTCTGGTAGCATAGTGGTTACGAATTGGGCTGCGAACCTCAAGGTCAGCAGTTCAAAACTACTAGTTGTTCCGTGGGAGAAAGATGAGGCTTTCTGCTTCTGTAAAGATTTACAGTACAGGGTCGCTATGGGTTGGAACCGACTCCACAGCACATAACAACAACAACATATGGTTGTTTTTTATATATATA